TCGCTTAACCATATCGAATCAAAAATGTGGCATCAGTATGCTGAAAGCTTCACTACTGGCTCAGTAGCCACTCACAAAGATGCCTTCAGGTTATGGGTTAAAGATAAGAACCCTGTTGTTGAAAAGTATATTGGGTTTATAGAGTCATACCGTGATCCCTTTGGTGTTCGTGCAAGGTTTGAATCATTTGTCGCTGTTGTAAATAGGTCAGTGTCAAAAAAATTCCAACGACTTGTAAATAATGCTGAAAGGTTGTTAACAAGTTTACCATGGCCTTCTACGTTTGAAAAAGTTAATTTCTCACAGCCAGACTTTACTAGTTTGAATGTGGTTACGTTTGCAACTGCTGGGATTCCTGTTGGAACTAATACTCCTAACTATGATGATGTACGACAAGTTGATGGATTTAAAAATGTTTCTTTGGATAATGTACTTAGTGTTCGTCTCGAGGATCCTAAACCAGAATTTCTACGTAATGAAGACAAACAAATGTACGTGGAACATGCTGAAAGTTCCTTTGAATTACAAGTTGGACTTCATGAACTGATGGGATATAGTTCAGGTAAACTGTTTCGGCGTGATTCTTATGGAAAACGAAATTTCCACACGAAAACTACTGAATATGTCATAAATGGAGGTCCTGTAAAAAGTTGGTGTGAACCAGGAGAAACGTATGACAGCAAGTTTCCAAACCTTCCATCTGCAATAGATAAGTGTCGAGCTGAGTGCGTTGGAATTTATTTATCTGATTTACCTCTTGTTCTGGAACAGTTCGATCTGAATACCAACTGTGCTCAAGGCGATGTCCCAGATGCAGTCTATATTAATTGGTTGTCAATGATTCCTTCAGTTGTAACTTCCATGGGGTTTTATTCTCCAGCAGAAAATGTTGATGACTTTGGATCATGGTGTCAAGCACATTATCGTGCTTGTTATGCGATTCTGCGAGTTTTGATTGAAGCTGACGATTCTATGGGACGTACACATAAAGTAGTCGGTGAGGACGATGCATCTGATTTGTGTATTTCCTTAGTTCCAAAAAGGCTTTTAACTGCGGCTCGTTCAGCAATTGGTGAATTCTTAAGAAAGTTACAATATTACAAAGGTAAAGCAAATGCTATGTATGGATATGCTTTCTCCCAGCACTATAGTCAACTACTTCCAAAATATTTGACTGATTTGCTCTGGCATAAATGGCTACGTGGATATCTTCTGATGCTGCAAACAAGATCTAAGTGGTTGGATATAAAGCACAACCTACAACCTGATGATCTCGTCTTAGTTAACAGTGCTGACACACAGAGAGGTCTCTGGCGAAAGGCTATAGTTAAGCAGATGTACTATGACCAAGATGGCCACGTCAGGACACTGTGTTTGAAAACTTCAGCTCAAGAAGTGGAACAAGATATAAGAAGCGTACGAAAGGTCAACGTGGTGATCGTTCGCGGGGAGTGTTAATCGCGATAGATAGATAGACTGTATGATAAACAGCCAATCAATATTATGTGACCTTTCTTGTCGCGATTATTGGTCGATTTATTGTAACTCTCACCACGTGATGACCTTGAATGTTCTTTTTTGTCTGTCACATTACTTGTATATACATGTAATTAACTGACTGTTCATTTTGTCCGTACCTTCAATACTGTCCGGTACGTTTTTGTCCTATTTTGTAATGACAATGGATTTGTACATTTTTCTTGGTGTAATTGTATGGTTTATTTTATGTTTTAGAAACAGATAAAGTTAAAGTCAAGTTATTCTGTTTTAACTATTGCTAAGCCCAGACTCTGTGTTGTCAGTATTGAGGGAGGACTAAATCTGTAGGACAAATTAATCCTACATCTTGTCTCACCCTCTAAGTTGTCGACCTGATATATTCCAATATCCCTAGAAAAAAAGTCTTGGGTTTTTTATATGCACGAAATCGAAACTGATTTTTTTTAATGATTTCAGAAATAACTTCTGGTGTATTGCCCGCCTAAAAAAATGAATTGTCAGGAGGAAATGACCTTATTTTAAGACTGGAAAAAGGAGCAGTCTGCTTGGACACATTTACAGATGCACTAATAGTAATCACCATTTTGGTCGAGTTAGCTTCCACTAACCATATTTTTCTTAAACGTCCACCTATTTGGACTACTAGGTTATTGGGACCTGTGAATAGAGTTTACAGGAAACGTATGTTAGACTCAAATGGGAAGCACGAGGTAGTGTCTAGTGGTCCATGCTGTCGTACGTCCTCACACACATGCAGTAATCCATGGACATTGTACACCATGTTATCCTCCCCAAATAATGACCTAAGATTCTCTATGAATTTAATGAATAAATTTTTTAGGTCATCTAGGTAATACGAAGAATAAGTTGGATGACTTAAGATGTAACAGGCCAGGAATAAATCGAAAAATGTTTCATAAAAGCAAGGTGGTAATACGTCTTTCAAGTAATAATAATAATAATAATTTGCTTTATTCCAAAACAGCACTTGTGATACAGAATGGAATTCTCAGCATTTCTTTTTTACTACAGTATACGATTCCTAAATATAAAAGAATTAGCCGTCACTCTTTTGCTTTCCAACGGTCAACCTTAGAAGAAGACAACTTATATGAGCTAAATAGTCGAGAGTTAACAGTGTTTAAAATAGTATTATTCAGACCATCTTGCCTACCTGTGAACATCACTTTCCACAGGCCAATCAACTTTCGAACTAAACCTAAATATATGAGGTGCATGTTATCTAGAGGAAAAACAGTAATCATGTCTACATGCGATCTCTCGAAAGTAGATTTACTCTTATAGTGACATTGCAACGTTTGCCTGCAAAAAGTGGTGTCTGTCCTAAAGCAGCGCATGAAGTAAGACAAACCATGCCATTATTTGCACGACGACATATAGCCTCGTATTTATCGCATCTTTGGGTTGAATTGTGACCGCTTGTTTGCTTTACTAGTGCCGTTGCTGGTGTGTCACAGGTGACGTCCTTAGGTACAATGTCAGTGCAATAGCTGTTGGGTAATAAGATACCATTAGCAATAATGCATTCTAATTCGACAACAGTGTCCCTCAAAAAGTGTATACTCAAAGGTTTACATGAACCACAATAGACGCCTACCAAGAATACCTTTTCACAGCCAGACAACAGAAACTTCCCTTGTATAGACCACATCTTTGATTTGGAGTTGTTGAAAGTAGGAGCACCATCAATGTTCAGCTGCAGATCTATTGGTTACAGAGACTTCATATTTGATCATTTGTAACCGAGACAGAATCTGACGACGGAGGCCAGTGTGAACATATATCCCGGGACCAACTGCTCTCCTTTGAAAAACGTCTTTAGTCCTCATCAATGTGCGAGGGTCAGGATGCAGGGAATTTAATTCTTCCAGAAAAATACATGTATCAGCCATATCCAGCTTGCATCTTTAGAATATGCTGCGAATAGCATCCAGTGAAGTGCACACGCTCCGGTCGGCTTTCTCAGTTGCAGAAAATTGTTCGATTGGAAAATGTTCCTCCACTAACGGTGGAGATGCTATGCTATTACAAGAAACATCAACTGGAATGACAATGTTTTGGAGAGTGCACATGTTTCCTGAAGTTATTTCCTGCTCTGGTTCTATTTCACAGGAGTTTGCATATGATTCTGAGTACATTAATATGAAACAACAAGCTTACCTTCTAAATGCTTCTTCCACTCCAGATTGTATTTTTTGAGACGTCGATAGAACGTTGACTTATGTCTTCCGCTGCAGTGTAACAGATAAATGATAAAACTTACGTGGTTTCAAGTTCTTGCAGCGGTGTGGTTCGACATTAGTTGGTGGTCTGCTGCCAATAAAGTCGGCTGGATGAAGAACCGTTAAAACTCATGTTAGCTGAAAAAATTCGGAGAAAAGTGTCAACAAACAGATTCCTGCAGTCTACACAACATATACGCTATGCATGATATTTAAAATGGACAGTACTTTAATAGTTCTAATATAAAACATAGAATGACTTAGAAAAATTCGTAAACAAAGAGGTCGGGCAGCACGCAGCTTACCGCATTGGAAATATGAGCTGTGAATTCGACCCCCTCTTTTCCAACACGGATTCCAGTCCAGTAAAAGACTTCTGATGAAAAGGCCTATCAGGATGTATTCAGATAGTAAACAGCATATTTCATTTATTATATATATAGAAAAGCCTATTGTTTAAATTTATGTATTACCATTGACTAATCCAAATTCATGGTAATGCAGTTAAGCAAAGTCAGCTGTCATTGGCTGAGGAAGTAGATATGGGTTACTCCCATTAGTTGATTTCTAGCCAGTGACGTTCCTGCAAGTGCCTCTTTCATTCTGCATTGCGCCCAAAGCCTGCCCCAAACATTCTGCGTTGCGCTCGAAATCATTGCTAGCTGGGTGACGAAAATTCGCGTTTTGGTTTTCTAAAGTTTATGCAATTACACTGCATGAATTCACTGTGATTTAGTGAGATTTGGCTGTAAAATTGTTACGGAACACTCATAACATCAACACTATTGGTTTCTGTGCACTGAAGAGATGTACGGTGGAAGATTACACGTTGATTTCAAAAGTATATCTGTTGAACCATACATTGCATGTATAAATTAACTGAAACTCTACATGTATCAGGGTCTATCAAAACTGCTTTGAGCGGTAACAATGGGTTTGATGTATCCAACTTCTACCAGAATCAAAATAGTTTCGAATATCTTCATTTATTTTGACAATGAGTTTCCGTTTGTTCTCAAGCTGAAGTTCGTAAAGTGTGCTTCAGTAATTCTATCAAATTAGATGTAGATACGTGCAAATTTGGATCATGTATCTATAGTGTTGCTTCAGTTTTGAACCTTCAAGCGGAATTATCTTCTTTCATCAGAAAATAATTTTAAATTTCTATTTTCTTTTCAGTATTAGAAACGTGAACAAGTCTGGAAATTTAATCTAGCTGGTAATAGTTACTGTCTGCTTTTAAATTATTTTCTGAAAATGAATCATAATCATACTTATCCATTACCAGCAAATGTAAAATCAACACATCATGCCACATATATACATCCAAGATTAATGCCCGGGTAAGTTGATCTCAATATGAAAGACTAGTTTTCAATATTACAAGATGATTACTGGACCTGACTTTCTTTACTGCCGGATAGTGTTTTAAGAGATAATTAAGTAGATTAGAAGATTTATAAATTATCTTGAACTACTACCGCAGTCTGATATGAATATCGATAAACTAAGCAGTTTGTTGCATCCTTCTAGATTTATCAGTTGAACTATTCCTATGAAAAATGTTATGTGGTGAGAGCCCTTGTCTTCTGTTGTTACAGTTATATTGGGCGTGCGGCTAAAAAATTATTATTATTTTTTCCTTTAATTCCTAGAGGAACATAGGGCTTCAGCCGTGCGTCTCCATTGCGTTCGGTCCTCTGCTAGAGTCTTCACCTGGCTCCAAGTCTGCACACACGTTTTCATCTCCTCTTCACATGACCTCCTCCAAGTCACCCTTGCACTGACGACCAACTCGCCGCTTCCCTTTCGGCCGGGTTCCACTCGAGCAATGGCTTGTCTAGTGATGTCACTTGATGGTGTCCTCAGAGAATGGCCAATCCATTCCACCTCGATTTCTTCCTGCCTTTTTTTTCACAATCGGTTCCTGGTTGGTTCGCTTATTGCCAGAGATCTCTGTTGCTGGTCTTTTCTGGCCGGCCATCTGATCTTGAGTATTGAGCGAAGACAACTGTTAATGAAGGTCTGTAGTTTGTTTGAGATGCTCTTTATGACGCGCAGTGCAAGTCTCTGATCCGTATAGTAGCACTGACTGACTTCACATTGGAGTTGAAAATCCGGATCTTATTTTTGATGCTGAGTGTTGTTGACCTCCACACAGACTTGAGAGTAGTGAAAGCTTGTCTTGCTTTGATATCCTCGTCAGTTCCGTTCGCCTGTAGTTGAAACGATGCTTCCCAGGTAGGTAGGTAAAAGAGGTTGTTTCTTTCAGGTTCCTCCCATTTATGCTGATCGTTGTCTGTTGTTGTTGTTGTTCTTGTCCAGGAATCTTCATCACCTCTGTTTTCTCCATGTTCACCTGAAGTCCTATCTTTGATACTTCTTCTGAAAACTTGTTGCTTTTCGTTTGCATATCTTCCAGTTTGTGGGAAATCAGACATATATCATCGGCGAAGTCAAGATCCCCCAAGTTTTTTGTTTGAGTGCATTTTATGCCTGTTTCCTCATTGCCCGCTGTTTGTCGCATTATCCAATCTACTGCAATCAGGAAAATCATTGGCGATAGTAGGCAGCCTTGTCTTACTCTTGTCTTCACTTCGAAATATTCCCTAAGTTTCCCGTTGTGGATTACTTGACATGCAGCATTGTCGTACAGCTGTTGGATGAGATGTATAGTTGTCGGTGGCACCCAGTACTTGAATTCCGTATCTTTTCATTTCGTTTGCGATCTGAGCAGCTTTGCCAATCTCGTACATGGTGCGGAACATTTTCGATAATGGCTAGAAAGAGAGAAGAAATAACTGTCTGAAGCTCTGTTTTCTCCTATCTGACTGAAAACTATAACTCAGTGAACATGAAGAAAACATTTAAGGTGACTGATTCTATAGAATCTTTCCAATAATTATCATACTTGTTTGCTATTCATACTTGAGGCCATTGATATTCGGACCAATAATCCTAAACTACGCGTTCAGAAAAGTTTGTACAACTATTGTTTCCCAATTGATGACGAGGAAAGACATAATTATATTCCTCCATCCGTGTTTTTATTACCCTTCATAACAGCGACTTTTCCTCAGTCTTCAATAAAACTCGGTTTATTTTATTGACTGTTTATGCTGTCCGCCTTAACTATTTCCTCATCACATATTTATAGATTGTTAATACTGTTATTATTGTGGCTAAATGAACAATTTATTGGTATCTTCCAGGTAAGAGTACGAAATGAAATTAGTTAGAGAACCATTGGAAACCAGGGGATGCTGGAAAGTTGTTCCCACCAGGTTGTGACCCACGGTCAATTGAATGAAGAACCTTTAGGCTTCCAGCTCAGTTTGTTAGCTGATCGTCATCTAGGACGGACCCCAATGCCTCATAATTGATATGATTGCGAACAATAAACTGTATCACAAATGTCATCTGGTAAATAATACTATTTCACTGTATGATAAATCTAATAAGCAAATTATTATGGATCTCATGAATTCTAACTTCTTATGATTCTCAATGTATAACTCAACTGCCGGCTGGTGTCATCTGCAAGTATTTGTCCTCGAACCCGGCTGGATATACCCCAGTAGTTACAAGTTTTCATCGTAATTCTAGACAGCTTCATCCTGTAGTCAGTCACTGGCAAGGATTAAATCAATTTTCAAGCATTGATGTTCAGGAATCTTATCGTCGTTTTGATAGATCACCACGACTGAGTTTTATTCAGCATTCATCGTGTAATCACTAAACAGACCTGACTGAAAGCATTAGTTTTCGCTCACACTTTTTCTGATTGTCTAGTAGTTCAAAACCTTTATTAGTAAAATAGATTTCCACTACAGTGTACAACATTATTTAACTTAGTTAGTCAATTGACAGATGTGAACCAGTGCATTGAATATTAGGTAAATAAACTGGTTTACACTTGACAGTAAAAAGGCAAAGACGATCCAATTATCCCTGAATAATCACTTGTGACCTAAATATCTGACCTGAGCACTAAGTGACTGAGGTTAGATTTTTAAGGGAAATGAGACAGACTCCATGATTGTATAAAAGTCTTTTTATTGGTGATTGTCAAATCTATGTTGTTGATTAACTTTAACAATCTGACAATACTTAATTGTGCACTAAGAATTTTACAGTTGGGGAAAAATAACATGGATTCATTTTTATTTCGACGTTTCTTTTCATCTGCTCAAAACGTCTAATATTCATTACACCATATTATGATAAAATGTTCAACAAACTTTAGTTCATTGAACAGAGATCAGTCGTGTCATGGTGAATACTACAATATCGTCGATGGATCAAGTTCTAGTCATTTCCAGTGTTTCTTCTTGCTCTTTTGAATAATGTAAAAGTGGAGTTTTCAGAATACTCGTACCTGCGAAGTCATATAAGTTCAGTAAGGGTGCAGTGGACAGTAAACTACTTAGATTGCGTCTTGAGGATCAGCACTTAGAAACTACTTTAAACATTACCAATAACTAACCCATCTCATCTTCTACAAGTTCTGGACATTTCAATTGAATCTAACTAAGTTATTCATTTAAGTCATATCTTCTTCGTGCATCTCATCCTGGTTCCACCTCCACCTTCATCCTTTTCGCATACATTAAATAAGGCAGCTCCAACTAGCATAATAATATGCAAGTTATTACAGTAATCTGTCTACTTACATTTGCCACAATCTTTGTGTTGTGAAACAAATTTAGCCGTTCAAAACTTGTCATATTTCTTGATTTGAAGGAGGCATTTGACTCCACCGACCAAGACGTATTTTGGCGACATTTGGATGGTGAGTGCCGAGGAGATATGACATGCCCATTAAGGCCATGTACTCAGGCTCACCCAGTTTTATGAGCTAATGCAAAGTTATCATCTCGAACAATGATAAACAGTGATGGCAATAAGAAATGTCCAATGCCTCTATTTTTGCTTAATCTCATCATAGACGTTATAACTGATGTGACGCCAATCGAGTTTAGCAACTTAGGAATTAGTCTGTTACAAGTGGACAGTGTTGTTAGCCTGAAGTATGATAATGATGAGGTTGTCCTTCTAGATGAAGACGCTGATAAAATATAGACTGCCAGTTTAGAGTTGGCGAGTGAAGTGATTGAGCATGTTGGCAACTTCACTTATTTGGAAATAGACTTTAGCGCGACCACTATTCAATGTCAACGGCGGGAACTCCATCCTGACTCCCAAATGGATGGATCCCACTAAAACTCCAGGCAACTTCCTTCTGTAGCCAGTCACTGGCGAGCATCAGATTAATTTTCAAGAATTGGTTTGTAGGGATGAAGTTGCTTGGAGTTCTAGTGGGAAGTCGTGACCAGTGGGGTCCATCCATTCGGGAGTGAGGATGCAGTTTCCACCGATGACATTGATGGTAATCGCGCTAAAATCACGAATTGGTACAAATTAGAATTCAAGGGCCGGCCATTAAGTCGGGTCCCAGTGGCTGAATGGTATACGCGCTTGCCTTGTAACTGGAAGGTCCTGTGTTCGAAACCCAATGAGTGAGTACTGACGGTGAATCCCAGACTAGGATGAAACAGTTGGCCGGTACTCTCAGCTGGTTTCCCATGGTTCTCTAACTGATATCAATTGATTGTCTAACCTGGAACTTTATGTTTACCCGCAACATTCTGTCAAAATGTTTTGTTCTTGTTTTATTGAAATTATTCGAAATTCGTGGATTGAAATTAAAAAAAACACACATCAAATCTGTTGTTTCTTCTGTCGTCACCAGTTATCGAGGACACTGTCCAGGTGAAAAATTTGATTATGGTCAAACATATGGAGCATATACATGTAAACAATTTCAAGATTATCGTTCAACAGTCCTTCAGTCGTCAATGACACCGTATGAAGATGGAGGAAATTTTCCGACATTTTTGTCGCATAATCCAGATCTTGTTATTAATAAAAGAATACAAGGTAGACAGCGGTATGGTGACAGATTCTATTGTCAACTTTATAATAAAGATGATCAAAGGTCTAATGAACTTAGACAATTCGACTTGGTATGTATCAAGTTACAGTTGATATAATTTGTATTAATTGTACCTCAGTGTTGTCGCTCTGATATATATTTATATATAATCCTATTCAACATTCAACAAAAATACTGACAATTACGTTCAATGAGTTATTTTCCTAGAATGTGGGTTTTGATCTAAGAGGGAATGCACAAGTGTAGACTAGAAATAGTATTTGGCATGACATAATAAGTGTAGAAAATAATATAATCAATCTGAATGCACAAAAGCTCTATTCTGTCTCATCTTGTCGATTCGGAACACAAAATTGGTGTTAACGAAGCTTTCAAAGTCATCTACCGTATACTAACTAAGCTTAATTTTACCTCAAGAGTTCATCCATTACATATTACTGAGGCCGTTGGAATCTGCATTAAGAAGCCTTACCTATGTATCCAAAAGAAGTTGGTTCAGACACTCTCCTTACCTCGCTGGCTATCAAGGTTTTAGTGATCCTCAATTTGTTGTGGAAATTTCCTTAATTTTATTTGATATTCTATTAACTATTAAATATTCATGTTTATTATGACTTATTCATCTTTCTTGAACTGTAATTCAATTGGTCTTACTTAACAAATCGATAGTATTTATGAGTACCGGTATTGTTAATGACGACCATTCTAGAATACCCTGTAAATATAAACGCATACAAATATATGTATATGCATAAATGTAGGGCCAGAATAGGAAATTACCGAAAAGGATATTCTGTACTCAATGTTTTTTTAAAATGTCTGAATGAATATTTTCGCTATAATGGAAATACGATGAAATGTTTACAGAAAGTCTGTATAAGCAATCAATCCAATGCTAATAATAAACAATAATAGAGATAACAATTTTCACATTTTGGTTTTGTAGGGATTTTGTTTGATTGGTTGAAGGATTTCATCATGAGCTGACATCAGTTAGAGAACCATTGGAAAACCAGCTAGGAATACTGGACAGCTATTTCATCCTAGTTCGGGACTCTTCATCAGCACACATCCGCCTCCAGGGTTCGAACCCAGGACCTTCTGGTTACAACGATCGAATCTTGGCGGCTCAGTACTGATGGAGAGTCACAAATTAGGACGAAATAGCTGTCCAGTACTCCTAGCTGGTTTTCCAATGGTTCTCTAACTGATATCAGCTCATGATGAAATCCTTCAACCAATCAAACAAAATTAGACAGTTTGCCTTTAAATTTCCAAAGGAAAATATGTGTGATTTTTGAAGACACAGCATACTTCAGCAGCACTGAATGCCCTTTTTACCGTAATACTTATGTGTTCTGTTAACATCTCGCTAATATTATCCCCGATGAAGTGAAGTTCTAAGAACAAGGCCTTTTCGGGAACTGTTTGTACTTTGGTCTGTGCCTTGACTTTTGATTTATATTCTTATCGATAAATTTTGTTAAGTAGCAGGTCTCATTCAGGAATTGTTTAATAATACTGAACTCTTCATTAAGACATTCATCAGAACAGATCGCTCTTGCTCTGTAGATCAAGCACTTATTTTTAGATGACGTTTGTAGTTCTAGGGTATACTGACTAGTTGATGCAAGTCTTCTGTATGCACTTCGTTTTATTGTACCGTCCTCTTTTCTAGTCACTCGGATGTCTAGGAATGAAATACTAGAATCTCTTTTTTTTCTCGATGGTGAAATTTATTACAGGTTGAACATCGTTGAATTTGTCCAGGGTTCTGTTTGCTTCATCCTCATTTTTCACAGTCAAAAAATGTATCATCCATGTAATGACAGTAGAATTCTAGTTCATCAGTTACATCTTTCAAAAGTCCATTCTCTAGTTTTACAAGGAAAATTTCAGCTGGAATGGGTCTTAGTGGCTACCCTGTGCTACAAAATCAATTTGTCTGTATAGTTCCTTACTTACTAAAAATTGAGCATTCTTTGTGCATTTCAAGGGAAGCTATTTTACTAAAAGGTATAGGAATGCCGAAATCAATGTTTCGTTTTATGAGTTCTTCGCACACAAAGTCTACTGTCTCCATAAATGGTAAATCGGTGAATAAGTGAGAGATACATCAACTGATATCATGGATTTATTGTCAATATGTTTAAATCCTTAATTCTTTCAACAAATCCAAAGGAGTAAAATTGAGTGACAGAAATAAGATACAATAATAAAATAGAGAATGAGTTGAGGCGTAAAAGCTGAATGAATGAAGATTAATGGGGACCTTTAACCCGTATGGTAAGAGTATAGCTGCTGAAAACACTCATCGTCTACTTCAGAAAGACAAGCTCCTAGATATCAATGCAAAAACATTAAAAAAGCTACAATATAGAAGTCATCATGTATCACCTGTCGCTAATAGGACTAATTATTAGTAGCAGTAGTGTGTTAAGAGAAATTCATCGGCATAAAAACACCCCAGTTGTAACTTTAGAAGACGAGAGACTTGGTAAATGGATGTTTATTTGGAATTTCCTATCTCTCTATATAGCCAAATTATGTACACCTTATCTTTTAAATCACCATTTTTGCACAGATCTTCCGTGTTGAGCCTGCTACTTCTTGCCTTCCTTCATATTGTGTTTCTTGGTGTTCCTTTCTCGTGTCTCCCATGTTTTTCCGTAATGCTGTATTATTTGCTTTCTCTGACAGCAAATCTATGTTCATGCTATTTGATATTTTTATGCCGGTGAACGTTTCTTCACATACTACTGATGAAAGTTATCAGTAGCAAACGCCACAATCATGGCATATTTCAGATAATAATTTATCATTAACAGTCTCTCTCATTGAATAAAGTGTCATGAGGAAAAGAAAATCAGAATTGATATTTTTGTTATGTGAATTTTTTCTTCTTTCAGGCAGTTCAAAAACATCGTGAGTATTACAAGGACAAAACGGGAACTAAAGCACCTGTAACTGATTTTTTCATTCCAACAACTAATATGGACTTTATTAAAGAAAAATGTCAACCCTAATTTATTGTGATGCATTAAAATATATGCTTTATCATCGCAACTATAGATGAAAATATATTAAAAGAGTACAAGACAAGTTCTAATTTCATACTGTTTTAGTTAAAAAAAGGACAGATTTTGAATCTTGTGTTTTGATAATAATACTTCCGTAGATAGAGGTGTGTTTCACTAGTTAAAACACTGAACTTTCAGCCATTACGTCTAAGGTTCGAATCTCATACCACCTACTCTATCCAACCTGAAAAATGACTAGCATTCTCATCGTTTCATACAACGCGGCTAGCTGACAACCGGGCACATGACAAAAACCTGTTCAGTAGTTTTATCCTTGTGTTCATTTGTACTGGCATTGATTTGATATTTGTATTTTTACCACGCCTTGATCTTTATTTATTGGTAATTTTGAAGTAATAACTGCACACTGGTCCAGGAATTCTGCGATATTTTTAGAAACTCCTCTGCTTAAAATTTTCATATTCTCTCAGTCAAACTGGTGTACGTTGTTGTCTTTATGCAATGATATGGAAGGAATACATATTGATTTAAAAAATTCCATGTAGAAAAGGGCATCCAGTTGATTCATCAGTATTGCTCACAGTTGGTGGGATGATTTATCTTGTAGATGCTGTTCATCTTTTTTCCCCTCTTTCTGTCGTCTTTTAGTTTATGTAGTGTTGAATGGAGTGTGTTATAACTGAACTGGACTGAAATGAATAAATCCGTTCGCTACTTTGTTGTGTCAGTGCCTGTTAATTGCTAATACGTGTCCATTTGTCCTTTGCACCTTCCGATTCACTGAGCCACGCAAATATCAAAACAACAAAGGCTGGCCTGTGACTGTAAGATATTGTATTATGCTATACTATGTAGTTTAAGAAACAACACATGATATTTATACAATTTCTTAACCATAATAAAGTCGGCTCACAAGCGTGATAATGTATTGTTCTTATTGGTTAGAAATATTTCTATCCCGATTGGTTGATGATCAGACAAAGACCAGGGTGACATAAAAGGACGATGAATTGATTATACAATAAATCAAAATATGCGTGAGAAATGATAGATGCACATAGTAACTGCATCACAAGATTTGTAAGAAAGGATGATATACTATTTTACGCTGGGACCTATCAGAGTGATTTTATCGATACGTAGGCATCAGTGCGTCGGTGATATACCGGTTAGGACGCTCGCCGACCATGCACGTGGTTCGGGGTGCGATCCCCGGCCGACGCACTCCCTTACCTCGCTAAGCCAGAAACAATGCTGGTGAAGAGGAAAGGTTGGGCATGAGACTAGCAACCTAATCCTGTAAAATAAACACTGCTACAGAAACTTCAAGCCACTAGCTTGAAGCCCTATGTTCTACTGGGAAACGTGAAGGAAAAAAAGGCATCAGTGACTTGAGATATGTTCTTTCTATGTGGTAAAATGATTTTTCTCGAGAGTGGCTTTCGCTGATCGTTTGATTCGCAAGAACGAAAAATGTACCAGGATAATCTGGGCTCACCATTTTTTTATTATTATTTCGTGAATTCTTTCCAACTGGTTACAATACCATAATTATAAATTAAATTAAAGATCTGAACATGGTTTTTTTACAGTAAGTGATTAGAACCAAGAGTAACAGTGGTTAGATAATTAAGAGTGAAAAGGACTGACTATTTAGAGAAGAATTGCATGACTAAGCTTGAAAACAAAAGGAGAGAGTCCAACAGATGTTTTGTGGGTAGAAAGAGTATAAAAACTAATAGGTTACGTAACCACAGAAAAACAGGTTTTCAAAAGATGAACATAAGTCATAGTGAGACGAGAAATTCAAGTTTTCTAAAGAGAAAAATAGCTAGCTGACATAGTGAAATTTCTGCACTTTGTTATCACCAGAACAGGGCAAGATTCACCACTGTCTCTTTCTGCGTACATAAATTTGGTTTTAGCCGTTTGATGGTGACTGCCTCAGGAAAACGAAGCAGGCTAGGTTTCTTTTGTCTGTTGATTATTTTGAACGCCTTCAGATTGTCCACAACATGGCCAGTGTCCAGTGGATGGTGTGCAACAGCACTGTTTAATGCTTGTGAGCCCGTTAGTCTCAGGTTCTTTGGTATGTGTTCAGAGATGCGGATAATAGCACTTCTCTCTCTTCTTCCAATGGATATATATATTGTATTCCGTTGCTAATGTCGTATTGAACGGTGGGTATATGTGAGAATAATATTCCGTTGGAATATACTGTCCGTTTTTGATTGCACACTAGTCAGTAACTAGTGTAATGTGTCTAGTCCTATCTTCGGTGCAGACTGAATTCTATCAGTCATGTTTGCAAACATTACACTAGTTACTGACTAGTGTGCAATCAAAAATATCCAATACAGTCCTACAGGAGGTCAGTCGCGAGCCTGAATAGCTCAGTGGTAACGTCTCTGACTGCAGCACTGGGTGACGCAGATTCGAATCTCAGAATGGAAATGGTTTCCTTCAAGGTTGCAGATACGCCTTGCTGATGAGTGCCAACTAGCACGAAACCTAGGTCCAAGGTTTCCTTTGGCCGATTGCCTCCAACCATCTAATACCAACAATACACTGTCCGTATCACACCACCAGCACCACAATATTATCTTAGGTTTAAATGGTGATTTATTGTTACTAAGGCAACTAGTATGTTTACTAGCTTCGACTGAACTGTGTTTACTAATGAGACTAGAAATACACACTTCGTTTAAGCCTAATTATCGATGTGTAGGTGTACCAGGATATATTGATGCATCTGTCTCTGATCAAAAACACCACCTAATTAAACATCAGAATACTAATCAATTGTACACGGACCTAGAAGAAATTCCTTTTTGTCAGTGAATACCATTTGCTTGTATGATATAATCATTCACACAGCTATGCAGATAAGACTCATTTGTTAGACAAGCTTTTTGAATGGATCCCAGAATACTGAGTGATATGCTAATTTCTAAATGTCCACAAAGCCACATATCATTCATAAATCAATAAGTCATACAAGTTTGTCTGCATTGACTTTCTAATTCTGTATACTGTTATATAGGATGAATTATTAAGCAATTTTCTAGCCCTACTGGTTATTCTCATGTATGTGATAATAATTAATCGTATGTTTTCAAGTATTGGTTTTGTAGAGATTTTCTTTGATTGGTTGGAGGATATCATCATGAGCTGACATCAGTTAGAGGACTATTGGAAAACCAGCTAGGAGTAGTGGACAGCTGTTTCACCCTAGTTTGGGACTCTTCACAGTACGCACTCACGCACCGGGATTGGAACCCAGGACCTTCTGGGTTAGAGAGTATATGGCATATCCGTGTTTTTGAATTAGTGACACCGTTACCCGTTGGGGTTTTAGGCCGTTTCAATAATTAGGAGAAAATATACCAACATGATTTCGTGAAAATCCAATATACCTCCAATTAATGCACTACATTGCGCAGATAGCAGTCTAAAGCAACACTTTTCGATATAAGTACAGCAATTGTGACGCAGTTTAAGAATATAATGCCACCGATAATATGTACGAGAAAAAAAATTTTTTTTGTATAGTACGAAATTTCATTTAGAAAGCATGCAAAAAAATATAACTTGTCAGCAAACCACCGTAGCAACGAATTAGGACGCTACAATTAGCAGGGATAAGGAATAAAGCTACTCTATACATGTTTGTTCTCTGACTAACTAAGTAGCTGGGTTTCGGTTATTCTAATAATACAAAATTATTAGTACAATTCGTATGGTTCTTGTTTGACTCTGGATACAGGCTCAAGTTACTTCCAAAATTCAGGTCAATCACTTCTTAATTCGATTGGAAAAATAGCAAACTTGTCATCGCGAGCAGGATCAAGCAAGATGAGAAATTTTTTCAAGAAATTCGATACTAAGTGTTCTCCACCGGAAGCCTAGAAATACTTAGAACGATTTGAATAGTGGTGTATTACTAAGAAAATTAGTCACGGTAACAAGACAGCTTTTCTCCTTACTGCAGTGGGAAAAGAGTGTTATTCTGTTCTAAAAGCTTTATCTTATCCCAAGTCGGTTTGGATCCCAGCCTTATGACAAACTAAAAAAAATTATTCACTCAGTGTCTCATGCCCAGGAATACCAATATAATAGAAGGAGTAAAGTTTAGTGGCCTTATAAGATCAACCTATATGTCTGTAGAAGAATTCACAATTCAGATGCAGTCACAAGTGGTCAGATGTAATTTCCGTGACCAGCTGAAGATACACACACAGCTGAGAGACGGGTTGGTTGTCGAGGTCAATGAGCAAACTCTGTAATCCAAACATTTCATCGCCATCAGGAGATTTTTGAAAAGCGTGAAGAAGTTCAGAATGTGACTATTTATGATATATCTTATGTATAGTTTCACAAATCTAATCGTACAGTACTGGAGGGAAAGAGTGCTATTCATAAGTCTCAAGAACAAACAATGGGTAAATGCAAAATTTCGTGGTGAGTTACGTCCACCGAATGAAGGTGTAGCGCCACTTCGGAAAAAAACGGCATATGTCATATAATCTCCCACATACGCATGTACTTATCAAACACTCAATGTACTTAAAAGCCCGATATGAACTCAATCACATACATTAACACTATGCAAAATTAATTGGTTACAGGATTTCATCATGAGCTGACATTGGTTAGAGAACCATTGGAAAACCTGGGAGTACTAGACAGCTGTTTCGTCCTAGTTTGGGACTCTTCATCAGTACACACCCACTGGGATTCGAACCAAGGACCTTCTGGTTACAAGGCGGGCTCGTAGACCATTAAGCCACTGGGATCCGATCCAATGGCCCATGAATTCTAACTACTGCCAATTCACGATATAGCGCAACCGCTAGCCAATGTCTTCGGCGAGTATTTGTCCTATTTGGCTAGTGGTTGCGCTATATCGTGAATTGGCAGAAGTTAGAATTCATGGGCCATTGGATCGGGTCCCAGTGGCTTAATGGTCTACGAGCTAGCTCAAC